CTTTCTCTAGGTTTTGAATTGTTTCCAATGCTGTATCTGTCTTACTTGATTGTTCTTGTATCGTGTTCCTGACTTCTTTCTAATTTTTCTCAACTCCATTGTATAGTGTTTTGAAACATTTTGTAATCATATTTCTGAATTCCTTCTCAGGCATTTCCAGAGCCTGCCCATCTTCCAGTATGGAGTGTAGGTCTTCTTCCAGCTCATTTGCCTCAGTAACTTTATCTCATTTCTGGACATGTGCTGATATGGTCATCTGCTTCTGTTTTTTGGGTGTATTCAGGGTTATCTGTGACCTTAAAACTTAGATGGGTGTGTTTTTTGGTATTTTTTATGCTTTCTGATTGTCTGTAGGTAGATGTGATCAGGAGATGAGCTTCCCTTTTCACTCTTCTTCCTGAAAAATTTCAAGATGCCGGTGTTGGTCGTTTTGACGTGACTCAGGATTTAATTTTTTGCCTATTTGTTTTTTAGTCTGCCTATCTTGCTCCACAATCCCCGTTCAGGGTTTTTTCCTAATGATAAACAGTTAAGACCAGCTGTGGCCGTTTTGCACTGCTTTTTTTTTTTTGAGTGGAAACTATCACTTTAAATATCGAGATAAGTGTGCATGTGTAGTAGAACCCTCCGGGGGTGGGGTGGGGTGGGGTATCCACTCACTCAGGTACCCCCTCTAGTCACCAGAATGGAGGTGCTCAGCCAGCAAGAGGCCAATGAGCAGATAATAAAAAAAAGAGAATGTCCACACCTTTATCTCTGCATTTCTGTCAGGTGTCTTTGGCTGCTCTGATCCTTCACCTGCTTGGTCTCGCCCAAGATGGTGTCTCTAGGAGAGCTGAGCATCTTGAATTAGAAATCAATGGAATTCTTGCTTCTGCTACAAATTCCCTTAGCTGTAAGCCTTCAAACCTTCTAAATATTCCTTTATGTGTGGTTCAGAGTTATGGCACCATCCCCTGAGCCTGTTTGGTCCAGTATTCTCTGTTATTGCTGATGGAGCTCTTCACTGCATTCCCACCCAATCTACCATCTTGTTTGTTCTTAATTCTGAAAATATTAAGAGTAATTCAGAAATTAAATTAGAATCACCAATAACTTGAGCTTCATAAAGTAAAATGATTTGAAATTGTTTAAGGTAAATTTTTAATGCCTTTAACCAGAGTGTTAAAACCTTTATGGAATGTCGTTTGTTTCACTTACTTTTCCTTTTTTCCTTACAGAGATAATTTGGAGTGGTTGGCCAGAGCCACTAACTGGGCAAAATTCACAGCTACAGCCAGTTTGGGTGTAATTCATAAGGTAATGTACAATGAGGAATATAAATAGGCATCAACAGAAGCAGTTTTTCTGGGGTTAAAAAACAATAAAGAGGAGAGGTAATGCAGAACAGAATTTCACATTCTCATATGGTCAAGACTTTTTGGATCTATAGATGGTAGATGAACCGCTTCAGTTATTTCTGTGAGATAATCTTTAAATGTAAAACAATAACATTCCCTCTCGTCATCTTAAAACTGAACACTAGTTCAACTAGTTAAAAAAAGAGATCTGCCTTGAGCGTTATTACCTTCTTTAAGCACTTCTCTGAGATCAAGACGTTCTGGTAATGTAGTAGTCTCAAAGGTGAGTTTGACACGACTGTTCAAACTCATCAACCGCTCCTCGGAAACCCTGTACAGGGTTCCTATGAATTGGAACGGACTCTGGCACTTAACAACAACAATATGGAATCAGACTGACAACCGCACCTTATAAGACGAGGTAGGAACCTCAGAGGACAGTGAGTTTAATGCTATGAGGGAGGAACAAGTCAGAAAAGGAGAGTGAGAACAATTGCTATAGCTCAAAGAATATAATCAATGTCATTGAATTATATATGTAAAAATTGTTGAATTGGTTGCTGTGTAGTTTCTTAAAAACAACAAGAGATTTGGGCATAAATAATAAAGATTTACTATCATTTCATTGACAGAGCCCTGGTGTGGTTCTGTAGGATAAGCATTGGACTGTTAATTGCACAGTTGGCAGTTCAGACATACAAGCCGCTCTTGGAAGCTCTGTACAGGGTCGCTATGAGTTGACACTGACTTGACAGCACACAACAGCATAATTCATTGACAAGTACATTTTGTGAAGCCAGGTCAGTCATTGTATTGAAAAAGATGGAGTGTAAAATAAATCTGTGTTCATTTTTAAGAAAAGATAGAAATCCTTTTCTCATGAAGACACTGCCTATGCCATTTCTCAAAGGTTGGGTTGAAATTAGTTATCTACATAGTACAGCATGAATTTGGAGAAATGTTGTAAAACAGAAATCCTGACTCATTAGTGTTGTATTCTGATCATAGTGTGATCCGGTCTCTTAAAGGCTTTCTTGGTTTGTGTGATAAAGTGATATAGGAGAGAAATCTCCTTCCTCACCTCTGCTGTCTTCCTTTTCTTTCAGGAATTGAATATTCTGTAGAAAAGACAATACTTTTAGAAACTCTTGTTTTCTCTTTTCCTTTCTTCCTCTTACTGACAATCTCTCTTGTGGCTCAAATTCACAGGGTCATGAGAAAGAAGCATTACAACTCATGGCAACATACCTTCCCAAGGACACCTCTCCAGGCTCCGCCTATCAGGAAGGTGGAGGCCTCTATGCATTGGGTCTCATCCATGCCAATCATGGTGGCGACATAATTGACTACCTGCTTAACCAGCTTAAAAATGCCAGCAATGATGTAAGTGTTTGAATGCAAACTCAATTTCCATTACTTAAAATTCCTGGAAAACATCGTTTGACAAATTATTGTTTGTTGTTAAGGGCCATCAAGTTGGTTTCGAGTCATATTGACCATAGGGTTTTCAAGGAGGGGCTGGTGAGTTTGAACCACCAACCTTGCAGTTCAAACTGACCTTACGTTCTAAATACACACTTTCCCACAGCACCACACCAGCACTCCAGTTACTGTATTGTTGTTAATGCCATTGAGTGACTTCCAATTATTGTGTTGGGAGTAGAAATTTTGTACGGTTTGGAGATACTTAAAATAGTGCTACTATTCTCATTTTTTTTTTTTTTTCTTTTCTTTTTTTAAAGTAATTTACTGTCCTTTATAAGTTAAAAGTGTGCTTTTCAGTCTTTCAAAACCTCTGTGTGATAGTCAAAATATAATGCCAGGTGTTTATAAAGCATATATTCCCCCATATTTAAAAAAGAACATTGAAACCCACTACCAGAGTCAGTTTCAACTCGTAGCAAAGCCCTCAGGCTTTCCAAGGCTGTCAGTCTTTATGGAAGAAAGCTATCACATCTCTCTCCCTTGGACCGGCTAGTGTGTTTGAGCAGGCATGTGCTTACCTACTGCGTCATCAGGGCTCCTTTACTTTAAGAGTCTTGAAATGCTAATTTCTCAGTGGCTTTTAGTGATCCTTAGTTTAATCCTATCATTGTATACAAAATTAAGGTCCAAAGAGATTATATTGTTATTGTTAAGTGCTGTCAAGTCAGTTCCGACCCATAGCGACCCTGTGTAGGGTTTCCAAGGAGCAGCTGGTGAGCTTGAACTGCCAACCTTACAGTTCAAACGGTTTTGCAGTCTGGCGCATTAACCCACAGCGCCACACCAGGACTCCAAAGAGATTATATATATTCTGAAATCAGTATTCTTACTTGTTTTGTTATTTGGTCATTTTTTAAATATAATTCTTTTTAGGAAAGTGTATTAAAGAGTTCTTTTCTTACTTTAGGAACCTTAGGATAGGATTTCAGACTTTAGTGAATACATTTCTGCATTCTTAGAAGGCTTTCAGAAGAGTTCTTAAGTGAGCCACAGAAGCTTGTCCTCCTTCATAGAATATATTGCGGCCAGTTGTTATGTTCCGACTCCTAGCGACCCCGTACAGGGTTTCTGAGGCTGTAAATCTTTACGGGAGCAGAAAGCCTCATCTTTCTCCTGCGGAACAACTGGTAGTTTCGAACTGCTGACCTTGTGGTTCGCAGCCCGATTCGTAACCACTACGCTATCAGAGCTCCTTGAGGATGATGATCTATATCAATTAGTAAGCCACCTGCCTGAAAAATAAAACTTCATGTCCTCTTATTTCATGTTCAAATGATCAAATAAAGGTTTTTGGTTACCTGCAATAAAAATCAGACACTAACTTAAACAAGGAAGAATTTATTGGAAGTAACTTGTGTAATTGATGGAAAAGCTAGCAAATCATTTGTGAATCACAAGATAAAGTGCTAGGGCATCTCTAGGGATCCAGATAACAGGAACTAGTGGAGTAGTCTCTTAGGACCTTACTTTTAGTATGAATCAATTGGAAACCTGTTTGGCCCATGAGTCAGTCCATTTAAGGAAGGTTAAAATTCCAGAGAAGAAATCCCTAATTGACCTACTTCAGGTGAGAAGAGAAGGTGTGAGCTTGTTAGTTGGCAGTCCCACTAAGATTTGTACCAATGGACGAGGAATGTTCAGCAAAGCAAACTGAAGTGCTGTAACACATTCAGAAGTGATAGGTGACCACTAAAATGCCTGTCTTCAATATGAAGATCAGTTTTGTGCCCTTGACCCCATTTTCTTGCCCTTTCTTCAACAAGCCTGTTCTGTTATTGTATCTTTTCTCCTTCTCAGCACTGCCTTTCTCCTCAACCAGCGAGCATACACAGATCATACCAAGCCTTCAAAAAGAGGCCCCACGTTCCTGGACATTTGCATCTCCCTCTAGTTGTCCAGTCTTTTTTCCTCCCATCTCATTTAAAGCTGAAAGTGTTACATGTGGTTTCTCCACTTCCTTTTCACCAGCTCACTTTGGGGCTTTTTTATGTGACAGCAAGTATCATTCTGTTGAAATTGAAAATGCTCAGGTTACCATAAGTTAGCCATCTTTTTATCAAATTCTTTCATCATTCTCAGTGTATCATCTTTTGTTGTTGTTATTGTTGTTGTTATGTGCCGTGGAGTCGATTCCGACGCGTAGCGACCTTGTACAGGGTTTTCCAGGCTGTAAATCTTTACGAGAGTAGAAAGTGTCATCTTTCTCCCGCGGAACAGCTGGTAGTTTCGAACTGCTGACCTTGAGGTTAGCAGCCCGATTCGTAACCACTATGCTAACAGAGCTCCTTTTATGTGTATGTAATTTCAAAATGTATTTTGAAATTAGAATATGAACTTGTACTTTGAGTACAGGTCACCAGAGCCAATACTTTTCCCCCAGATCGTGCGACACGGTGGCAGTCTGGGTCTCGGTTTGGCCGCCATGGGGACCGCGCGACAAGATGTATATGATTTACTAAAAACAAACCTGTATCAGGATGATGCTGTGACAGGTGAGTGACATTTTTCCTGAAAGACAATTTTTCATAATAATGAATGTTAACTAAAATATTTGTTTCCTAGCCTCTTTTTAAAAATCTAATGCATGTCTCTACTTGAAGAAGGTGTGGATTTTACCCTATTGGTCAAAATCATCTTAAAAACATGTTTTATGCAGTATAGACTTTTAAAGTGGCACATCTTCTGTGGCTAACTGTACAACTAACTGATTTTTATAAGTAGGAATTTATTAGACGTGTTTGTATCTGCTTGTATCATAGAGCTGTCTGTTGCTTAGTATGTAGATTGCTGTTACTACATGCCATCGAGTCAGTTCCGACTCACACTGACCATGTATAGGATTTCCATGGAGTGGCTGACGGGTTTGAACTGCAGACCTTATGGCTGAGTCCATTGCTTATCCTACAGTGCCATACCAGTATAGAGATAGAATATTATAATGCCCTCTTGTTGCTAAATTCTGTCAGTGTTTAAAAGGGAGAAAAGCTATAAATGCATGGATGTACATCTTCATAAAGTGTTCACCATTTTATCAGATTTGTTTGAAAAAAGTGCTATCTAAAACTAGTGGCTATAAGAGGCTTCAAAAAGTTTGTAGGAAAACAGAAATGAAACCATGGAATTTTCCCACAGACCTTTTGAAGTCCCCTCATATTTGATGTTGTTGTTAAGTGCTGTCAAGTCTGTTCAACTCGTAGTGACCCTGTATAGGGTTTCTGAGGAGCAGCTAGCTAATGGACTTGAATCGCCAGCCTTGCAGTTAGCAGTCTAGTGCTTATCCTACAGCATTAATAGATTCTGTTTCTGAAAGGTATGTTTTATTGATTACACATATAACTTGACTCTTAATCTTTTCTGATTTATTCTTTACTCTCTAGGAGAAGCAGCTGGTCTGGCCCTAGGTCTAGTTATGTTGGGTTCTAAAAATGCCCAGGCTATTGAGGACATGGTTGGCTATGCCCAAGAAACTCAGCATGAGAAGATTCTGCGTGGGCTTGCAGTTGGCATTGCATTAGTGATGTATGGGAGGATGGAAGAGGCTGATGCTCTCATTGAATCTCTCTGTCGCGATAAGGTGAGATGACATACTGTTTCTCCTCTTCGCCCTTGCGCTCACTAACCATCTAGTTGTCGCCAGCATTCACAGAAAAACTTAACCTCTACTGGAAATGAACTCTGTTCCCATCACATTACGTGAGTACATTTATTGGTAAAACAGCTCACAAGATAGTTATTCTAATAAAATTTAGGAATTAAAAACATTGAATGGAAGTGGTGAAAGGAATCTGAGGATTTTGAATTCAGACAAGACTGGATTTGTGATTTTTTTTTTTTTTTTTCAGGCAAGCAGATCCAGAAAAGTTCTTTAGGAATAGATTGATTTCTATTAGAAGTAATGCTTTAAAAATTATTCCATAATTCATAATGATAAAGTTTATTTCATTGTTTTTTTCCCATCCCAAAACAATGCCAGTCTGCGTGTTTATTTATTTTGTTGAGGCTTTCCCCCCTCCCCCATTATCTTGTTTTGTTTATACAGTGGCATTATATATGGTAGGTAGTTAGTGGTAAGTGATATTGTCTTCGGTAATTCCTCAAAAAAGAACCAATGCTATCATTTATAGGAAACTTACTACTTCATTTGCAGCACTATCAGACTCTATATCTCTTCTTCCTCTCTTTGCTAGTGCCCAAGAATGAAATGATAAGGAAGAGTTAGATATGGAATTAGAGCTTAGCTTCATTGTTGTGTGTTTGGCAAGTGGAAATTGAGTGTCATAGAGCAATGGGTATTGGTATTCATTTGAATTTGTGCTGCCTAAAGAGTGTGACTTGGATCAACTATCAACACTCACGGAAGCAGCAGTCAGGAAATCAAACGATGTATTTATTGCATTAGGCAAATCTGCTGCACAAGCCCTTTTTAAAGTGTTGAAGAGCAAAGATGTCAGCTTGAAGATTTAAGGTGCATCTGACCCAAGCCATGGTATTTTCAATGACCTCATATGCATGTGAAAGCTGGACAGTGAATAAGGAAGACTGTAGAAGAATTGATGCCTTTGAGTTATGGTGTTGGAGGAGAATATTGAAAATGCCACGGGCTGCCAAAAGAACCAATAGATCCGTTTTGGAAGAAGTGCAGCCAGAGTGCTCCTTGGAGGCCAAAATGGCCAAACTTCGTCTCTCATACTTTGGACATATTGTCAGGAGGGACCAGTTGCTGGAGAATGATATCATGTTGTTAAGGTGGAGGGTGAGAGAAAAAGAGGAAGACCCCCAATGAGATGGATTGGCCAAGTGGCAGCATTGATGGATTCAAGCATGGCAACAGTAGTGAAGTTGGCCCAGGATCGGGCAGTGTTTCGTTCTGCTGTACATAAGGTCCTATGGGTCGGTACCGATTCGATGGCACCTAACAACAAAAACAACAAAAAGTGTGAGGCAAGACATTGGGAATTAAGAGAGTTATTTCTTCCTGTATGAGAGTCTTAAATTTCCCTGTTCATTTAAAAAGCTTTTCTGTCAACCACAGAATAGTTCACCTTGAGCTTATCCTTTCCCATCTAAACCCAGTTGCCCTGATAGTGTCACTGTGCCTGTTGGACTGCAGAAGTTACTGTTTAAAATGATCATTTCAAATTTCAAATTGAATTATTCTTTCTTAGGACCCAATTCTTCGACGGTCTGGAATGTATACCGTAGCCATGGCTTATTGTGGCTCTGGTAACAACAAAGCTATTCGACGCCTGCTCCATGTTGCTGTAAGTTATCTTCCCTTTCTCGGGGATATGGTGAAGGAAAGTCTATAGAGGGACTGGAATAGGTGTCTAGGTGTTTCATACTTCCTGATCACCAGCAGAGGTCTTAGGTTCAGGTGGTTGGCCACTGCACACAATAGATCATAGCCGGGCACCAGTTCCCTTAGCTTTTCAGAGGGTTGTAGAACAGGATGAGAGCATGCCAGCATGAATGGATTATCTTAAAGCCCTCAGTGCTACTTCTGAACTTCCATTCCAAGGGGCAACCTTTGTTTATAAGGCGCAAGACTTGTGTGAGTATGTCCAGCCATCCTAGGCTAGGGAAAGCTGACATCAATGTCCAGGTGCTTCTAAGAAGCATGCTCCAAGAGACACAGAAAAGCCAGGGGCTGGTGTCCAACAGGCATCATCTACTCAGAGTCATCCCCATGCTTCTGTAGTTTATCAATAATAAAGTTGCCTGGTGTCTTAACTCATTTGGTGTTTTGTGCCACAGTACTTGGAGAAGGTAAACCCGAGGTCATCTCGGAGAAAGGGTTAGAACTGTTATTATTAACACCTTCCTAGAGATAGTCACATCTCACAATGTATTTATTATTAGTAATTTTTCCTTGATCCGTGCAGTATGGTGTGTTCTAAGAATGTATATTTTGCGTGAACATAGGACATACTTTTTGAAAATAAAATGCATCAAAGCAATGGTTAGATTTTTCTGTCTCACAAAAACTATAATCCAGTTGACAGAGTCCTTAACAAGTACCCCTGAATTTTAATCCACTTCAAGTTTAAAGACTTCTAAGCCATTTTCCTCATGTGTCACTCTAGGATAAACACTGGACTACTAGCCACAGGGTTGGTGGTTCAAGCCCACCAGCTGCTCCAGGGAAAGCCTGACCTGAGTTGCTCTGAGTCAGAATGGACTCAATGGCACTTATCAACAAGTCATTTTCAGCTGAGTTTTTCTCAGCTGGAAAAATACTTCATAATAAAGGAATGATATATGAGTATTATGTCTAATTTACATTTTAATGATGGTGGCCTCTCCTATAAGCTTGGTCTAGTAATGGAATGAATGGTTTAATGTAATTGTCTGGTAAAATGTTTCCCTCCAGGTAAGCGACGTTAATGACGATGTCAGAAGGGCAGCAGTAGAATCACTTGGATTCATTCTGTTCAGGTAATAATTTCTACCTTCAAATTCTGTTTGTATTCCACTTCTGTTTGTAGTCAATAACTAAGTAATAGCTCGGTACCTAAAGACTAGAGTTAGGTTCAGAGTGAGAACCATTTAATAAGATGAGTGTTGTTCATGTGAAGGGAATCCAAGTACTTCACGGGAGCTGAGGACCAGTTTGTGGAAGAGTCAAATGATTTCTTTGTATCTATTTCTTCTTGACTTTCTCTTTATTCATTTAATCTTTTTAATCCAGTAACGCCTTCTCCAGTACTCTTCCTTCTAAGTATATTGATAATTCATTTGAGTTATTTTATTTATTTGGGTTTTTTTATATAGTGTTCTTAAAGCTCTTTAATGAGAATGAAAGCTAATAGGCCTTATTTAAATAAAGAAGGGTGAACATCTTTCAAATTGGAAAATTATTTTGAATTTTCAGATTTGGAGTTAAAATGTACCATAAGATATTTGTGAGTTAGAGACCCGTGTGCCTGGCTTGCTGAATCTTGGCTTAGCCATTTACTAGGCTGTATGAATTTAGGCAAGTTATGAAACCTCTTTAAGTTTCAATTTCCTCATCTGTAAATGGGAGTAATAGTACCTATCTAAGAAGAGCAGTTCCTAGAGAAAGTTATCATGCTTGGTAAAGTGGAGGGTCAGCGAAAAAGAGAAAAGACCATCGGTGAGATGAATTAGCACCATAGCAGCAACAGTGAGCTCAAACATAACAATTGTGAGATGACACAGGACCAGGCAGTGTGTATCATTCTGTTGTGCTTGGGGTCACTATGAGTCAGAACCAACTTGTTCTGTGAAGGGTAAGCTAATTAATATATAAGTAGCTTCAAAAAGTTAGTGGGAAAATGAAATAAAAACACAATGGGATTTTTCCACATACTTTTTGAAGCCAGTTACATCTAATCCCCTTAGCGTAGCATAGCACTGGTAAGCACAGTTGAGGCAGGTGAAGTAGTTCTAGTTGTGATGCTGGTGCTGGTAGAGGCACTTCTTCTGATCATTCTCCTTATTGTCTGCTTAGCTCCAGCCACAAACACCAATGTTTCTTTCAGTCTAAGAGACTGTATCTTAATATACAGTGAAGGAAATTCAAAGTACTATTTTCAGCTTTATTTGGATACTCCCTGCTCTGCTACAGCTTATTTGTGATGAAATTAAGTTCTAAGAGACATGTTAAATAAGTCAAGTCTCTCATGTCCTTTTAATCACATTAGAAAGTTTCTACCGTAAGTTCCCTGGTAGTAAAGCTCTGTTGTAAATGTAATTTAAATTCAACAAATATTTATTGAAGATCTATTGTGAATGTATTGTTGTATTCGCTCTTTAACATCCCAGGTAGGAAGTTATCCATTTACTGTAAATATTTTCTTCCCATTGTTGATAAAATTGTGGAATAAAACAGAGCAAAGCAAGCACAAATAAGTTTCTTCCTACACTAGTCAGTTCTTTTGAATGAGGTATTCAGCTAAATACTATTCTCCTTCACTGTTGTCTAAGCTGTTGTACATGTCCAACTTATTCAGAGATACTGTAGAGGCTTAACAAAATCCTAAAGAAAATGCATTATTTACCTAGATCTCCAAGTTGCATACCTCCAAAACAGGAAATGGGATTCGTTGGATATGACTGTTTCTTGGCAAATCCATGGAAACGGCAGATATTTCTTGATGCCTTTTTAAGATCTGATGGGACTTCAGAACACCTTTAGTTTCTTGAATCTCTTTTTCCATTTGTGAATAAAGGAATAGTTAGCCACTATTACCATCTTTTTTGTATTTTTCTCATTTTTTGTTATCCCTCCAAAATTCGTTAACACTTCTGTAATTACATCCAAGAAGGTAGTTCATTTAGTTTAAAGACTTGAATTCATTGAAGGCATCCAGGCTTACTGTCATCACCTGTTTTGCATTTTGATGAGTTGTAACAATAGTACTTTGTCTCTGTACAGTTTAAAATCATTCTCCCGGAAAGAATTAAAAAAACCCAACAACAGCAATAATAACTGGCTGCCATCGAGGCATTCCAAGTCATAGTGGCCCTGTGTAGAGTTTTGAGGCAGTAAATCTTTACCAGAGCAGAAAGCCACATCTAGATCTCGCAGTTAGCTGTCCAGTGAGAGAACAGAGGAAAGCAGCAGAGAAGTGCAGTCACTGTCTTTCTTTCTTGTCCATCTTCTTAACGTGCTTTTCAAGCCAAGTCGATGCCCTAGATTTTGTCCTTGCCATTGAGAAACTTTGGGGTTGTTTTCCTTGTCTGTGAGCTAGATAATTTAGGCTGGAAAGTACACGTTTTCAGATGTGCCTTTAGGAATTGCTGTGGTGTATAAGAAATCCTACTCAGGATGTTTTGTTTCATTAGTATCAACGTTCATTCTTCTCTGGTTGTGATTTCTATTTCCTACCAAGACAAATGAGTGGCCTAGTGTGTATATTCTGCTTCATATAAAGTTAATGGGTTTTATAAAAACCTTTTTTCTTCTTAACCTGACAGTGATTTGCTTTCTAACTAACAAAATTAATTTTGTCTTTGTTTTTTCTGTAACTGGCACACATGCTAAATTACTAGTTTTAGCTGCAGATGTCTCCCTTGAGCTGTTTTGAGACTTTGTTAAGTAAGTTCTCTACTACCTAGGATACTCCCCCTCCCCCTTTTTAATTGTCATAAAAATATATTTAGACATTCATATTGTCTTTTCAACCAAGATATTCTTCAACTCGGGTATAGCTAATGAGTTACTTAGATGCTTACTACTTCTAATGAACCAATCTCAGTTCTCTTTTCATGATTCTTTTAAGTAGGAACTGAAGAAATCTTTACAAGTCCTTTTTACATATTTATTAGCCAACCTCTTTAAATGCGGAAGCATAAAAATAAAGGAAGAAACCAGAAGTTTTGCGAAACATGTTCAACTGGTCAAATCTTAGCAAAATTGAACTTGCTATGGTAGGGTTCTAGGACCTGGGTCTATTACGTGCTGCGCCATCCACATGGGCCACTCCTTAGTGAACATGGGCCACTCCTTAGTGAACATGGGCCACTCCTTAGCGAACATGGGCCACTCCTTAGAGACCCAGCTTCGTTCTTCTCCAGTGTCTTCTCGTGGAGTTGTATCTGATTTTAGTCCCCGTTTTCATTCTAATCCATTGGAGAATGGCATGATTCTGCTTTTGTTTCTTGGCCAGGAATCTCTTGATCCTAAAAGTCTTTATGAGAAGACATTGTGAAGATGGTACGTAGCAGCGGTCACACGATGGCGAAGAAAGGAAGAGTACAAGTCCTGTTATCTAACATTCATCAAGAAAGAGAAATTCATTGACTTGTCTAGGTTCTCTCTATTAGGTTAATGCTGTTTTCCTAGAGTAAAAAATTTTTAACTTGAAAATTATTTTCTTCATTTTTAAAAGAAAAGGAAATTGGCTCCCAGCATTCCATTGCCACAGAACTAGGAGTGATAGAGTTTGGATTCACAGCAGGTCTCATATTAAGCCCTGTTAGGGTTCTCCACCATTGAAATCTAAATGTGATACATATTTTCTGTGGGCTGTTCTTTGTTTCTGCCTCAATATCTTTGTGTTTATTGTGTTCTAGATACTGTGACTTTTCTTTGTCATTTATTATTCCTCTCCTAGACTTTTGTTTTTCCCTCTCCATCAGTCAAAAAAATATAAAATAAAATGAAAATTTCTAAATTGTTAACAATTCAAAAACATTTTAGGAAAATGCTGAGATCTGTAGTCATACATATTCCTAGTATCCAGATATTGTGAGAAACTGGGTGCCTTCATTGACTCTGTTAGTTGCCCCAAAAAGATGCCAGTGAGGTAGGAAGTGAATATTGGATAACTACCACACCTTTCTTCAGGCCTTTCAAATCTGGGCATTGAGAGTTCTGGTGCCTTTAATTCATTTTATCCTAAAAAGGTGCTTTCTCTTTAATCTAATAAGCTTTCTCTGTAAAAGAGATCACACTCCATGCTGGATAAAATATGCTTTAGATCATCAATCCGAGTGCACGGTAGACTGAAAGTCCTTTTGAATTTGTAGGAAAAACCTTTAAAAGGAATTGTTTAAAGTCTGATGATTGTCTTTTGTTCTTTTATGCCTTATTGCTTTCAACACTTTACTTTATTCAAAAGGTACTAATATCTACAAACTTTATTCTCTAGAAACATTTTAATTGCTGAATAAGAATAGGTTTGTTATCAAACTTTCCTATTCCTTCCTGACTAGTGTAGAAGATTATGCCGCTTAATTCCTCTGATGTGTTTGTTATGTTTTCCTTATTGTTTCACAATTTGATAAATTCTTTTGAAAAGTTAGTCTATTCCTTTTTTAAAAGGTGAGACTATTAAAGTCAGTTTGTTGCCATAGGAATATTTAACTATTGAGATTTGCTGAAAAGTATACAGATTTCTTGAAAGTGTTTTGATAATAGAAACACCAGTTATGTATTAAAATGGTAAGAATTTTGTGCTATGTCATACATCTTTAGAACTAGTTGGTACTCAAATTGTATTTCCTTTTCTAGAATCTTGTGGAAATACTAGAATTTTCTCATTGATTATTGAAGAATCTCAGCTGTAAGCAAGGATTTTTTCCCCCCAAAAAATGAAAGCTAAGTCGTTTGTATGTATATACTGTTTAACCATATGTGTAGGCAATACAGAGCATATGGGAAGATAGTTCTGATGTAGATTACTTCTGGAGAGAGCTTTAAGAGTACCAGTATTTAGGTTTTCTCAAACATATGTGCCATCAAATGAATAAAATGGAAAAGTTCTCAGAGTAGTATATGAAAGCTTAGGACTTCAAATGTGTCTTGGCAGGAAGAATATACATCTTAACATATGCCAAACCTATCATACTAGAAACTAGTGTGGAAAGGTGCCTGATGTTCTGATGACTTAGGAATTAAATTTCTAAGATATCTGAGAGGGCTTCAAAAAAGTTCATTAAAAAAAATTCGTTGTCTTTTCATTCCATTTTCCTTTGAAGTTTTGAAACTCCCTTATACTGTTCTAGGCAGATGATATAGAGCTCAGGGTCTGTGTACTAGAACCATGTTCTGGGAAAGGTTTCTCTACTGAGAGAATCTATGCCTGGCTCTCTGATGCTGAGGTTCGCCATCACCAACGTATTTCTTAGAATGGGATAGTTGAGTCATCAGTGTGGGTCACCCAGAAAAGGAAAATCTGATGTATGGGCTTTCTTCACTTCCAACCCTCTCCAGTCTAAATTTGTTTGCCATTTTTAGAAGTAGCATAAAAATAAAGTATCAAATTAGATAAAAGTCACTACCATTTATCATGTACTATTCATCTTCTTAAGGAGCTCTGGTAGCGTAGTGGTTACGAATCGGGCTGCGAACCTTAAGGTCAGCGGTTCGAAACTACCAGCCGCTCTGCGGGAGAAAGATGAGGCTTTCTACTCCCGTAAAGATTTACACCCTCGGAAACCCTGTACAGGGTCGCTATGGGTCGGAACCGACTCGATGGCACTTAACAACAACATAACATTCATCTTCTTAAAATTCATAAGAAATGTAGATGAGGAAACTGAAGCTTTTACAGAAGTAAGTAGTGCAGGTTGGATTCTTTCCCTAATGCAGCTGACTTCAAAGTCTACTTTACTTTTCTCTCTACTATTTTGCCTTTCTTCAATATTAAAAACAAAATTAATTTAGAACAAAATTTGGCATACTACTAGTGTATAATACATGAGTGAATAGAAAAACTCTGTGCCTGCATCTCAACCCAGTCTTTAGCCAAGTATCTTCTAACAGGTGTAGATAGGCAGGAGTACATAAGAGCCAGGTAGCTACAAAAACAGGTAGGCTCAATCTTGATTTATGAGATTACTGGTTTAGGCTTCAGGATTGAGGTCCCAATTCTCTAGTTGCACATGTTCATCTGCTCTCCTCTTCCTCTTTCTCTGCTTTATTTTCCTCTTCCTCCTTTAATTACTCCAGTATTGCATAGTGATGGTGGTGGTGGTTATATGCCGTGGAGTCGGTTCTGACTCATAGCGACCCTGCATAGGGTTTTCGAGACTATAAATCTTTCCGGGAGTAGAAAGTTTCATCTTTCAGCCATTTAACCACCAGCTCCTGTGCTAATATTCTGTTCGTTTGTGTGATACCCAATCTATGACTGTCTTCCCCTCCCCTTCTATTAAGACAACTTCCTTATCAAAAGAGCATCATGTCTGCATTTAACTAGGCCAAATTGTAAATGCAGTCTTAATCTCTAGATGTGAGCATTGTTTTATGTGTTTGTTTTTAGTTCTGTTTTCATGTCACTATTCTGTACTATATCTTACAACTTTTTGGCCTTGAAGAGAAGGCTGCTGAATATTTTTGTTTCATTTCATTCTTACTAAAACTTTGCATTCAGTTAGGAAAGTAATAAATTCTTATGGTGACTCTTTTTTAAAGCTGACATTTATTGATATATTTAATAACCTTATTAAGTTTTAACCAGATGCAAATTTTTCATTTGCAGCTATATAAAATGATTTTTTCATGTAATAAGTTTGTTCAAATAAGGAAAATTGGATAATCTTAATGTATGACTCTTAGTTTTTAAGAGATTATTTGATGTATGATGTAAAGTTCTTCTCATAAATAATTCTTGATGTGTTTACATACAGTTCATCTTCTTGCTGACCATTATATTGTTGTTGTCAAGTGTCATTGAGTCAGTTCCGACCCATAGCAACCCTGTGTTGGATTTCCGAGGAACAATTAGTGAGCTTGAACTGCCGATCTTACGAATCAGACTGACTGTGCAGTCCAGCACATTAACCCACAGCGCCATACCAGGACCATCCTACCATTACTTAGATGAGAACAGGCCCGGTTTTATACATAACTGACTTGCTCTTCTGTTTTGTCACCTTCATTATCTGTGAGAAGAAGTGTATCTAGTAGAATGACTGATGAAGATTGGATGGTTGAACTTCGGAGTCGCATTGGACTCTGGTACATGACAGGATTAATCCCGTTTCTCATTCCATGTTTCATGAAAACTCTCGAGTTCTCTGTCCTTGGATTCTGGCCATAGATCTTGCTGGAGCATTTTCTGTGAGGTTTTCCTGACTTTGTGGCCTGATAATGGCAGGTGATGTATCTTCCAAATGCATCTCGGAATGTCTTGTTGAAAAGGGTGTAGACCAAAGGATTGACCCCTGAGGAAATGTAGCCTATCCACACAAATATCTCCAAGAGCTTATTGAGAGTAGACTGGTTGCAAGACTCACATAAAACTAAAGTTATGTTTGTAATAAAAAAGGGGCTCCACATAAGCAAAAAGAGGAAAAAAACAATCCCTAAAACCTTTGAGGCTCTCTGTTCATTGGAAATGGTCTGCACTGACTTCTTTCCAGCTGTGGACATCCTTCGTATAAGTATGTCATCACTTGAGTTGGACAGAGTTTTGTCCTTGCGAGAACCCTCCAGCATTGCCACCTTTTCAGGTGATGAACATGGTATTTCCTCCTTCTGGAGAACTGTGGACACAGATAACCATGTTAGGCGTTGCGGTGGCTTGTTGTTGACCAAGTAAGCTTTCTTTTGTAAAGCACGGATGGTAAGAAAGTAGGTGACAATCATAATGGAAAGAGGCATAAAGAAGGCAGCCAGTGAGCCAAAGAGCATGAAGTTTCCAAAACGGTCCTTTGTCAATGCACAGGTGATATTTAGGTTATTCACGTTGGCCTCAATGCCTTTAATAGGGATTGGAATAGCAATACCTAGGGAAGAGGAAACAAAACAATTGAGTTAATTTTGTGACATGATTCTTAGAGTAGGTCCTTGTAGATTATTTCCTAATGACTTTATACTGGTTAATGCATTATCGTTTCTGGTTCCCACCGTACACTACCTGTCAGAACATTCACAGTGGAAGACACAAATAGCACCTAAGTAAGCAAATCTCTTTTTAAACATCAGTATGGATTAGAGATAATTAAAGCTCTCCCAAAGCTATAGTATGTCCATGATTATAGTAGGAAAGATCTTCATTTAGTCTGCATTTTTTCCTGGGTGAAGGAAAACTAAATAAAAGAAACTGCTTTTATCATAATATATCTTAATATAAAGACATCAATGTTTGTTAATGAATGATATTCATTCCTAATAGAAATCTATTGACATTATTTTTGATATTTATGAATTTCCCCTTATCTTTTTAGACTAAAACTAGGGGAGGGGGGAGTTCATTTAAAAATAAATAAATAATACTATTTAAAGTGTTGAGGTCATGTGAACTGTGACATTTATTTTCAAAACTTAAGAGTTCCACTTGCATAAGAAAAAAACTGTGTTTCACGCTGATTTTCTGATTCTTTATCATTAACTAGGTATTGAAATATGCTTTTACTTAATGTGAAGTAGCTTATTAACAAAGAAATGACACAGTTAAGCCTAAAAGATTTCCTTTTGAAGCAGTAACTATTTAAAAATAAGTCTGAATTAAGAGAGCCTTAGATACCTGTAGAATTCTTGCCATGTTTTATGAATCCAAAAGCACCCTCTCATTTGTGTATCCTTTATTGGAAGCTAAGAGACCCTTGCTTGACAAGACTGTTTCCCTCAAATCCTATCTAATGAAGGTCACTCTTTTTTTCTGCAACACCAGAAAAAGGGTTTTGTGTGTTTGTTGCTCTGTACCAGAGATCAGCAAACTTAGCTTGCCAAATAAGCCCACTTTCTGCTTTATATAAATTCACTTTTATTAGAAAATCGCCATGCCCATTTGTTACCGAGATAAACATAGGCCAAACAATGTGCAGCACTTCTGTGGTCTACACGGTGACCTCCAGGTCACAGAACCACTGTTTATTCCCCATTAAAGTCCTCTACCAACCTCTAAGACAGTTTCCATCTTCTTCTATGGTTTCAGTACCTTATTATTTTGAACGCTTTAAAGAAGTCTTTTGCAGAAGATTTGCCCATTGCAATATGTCATTTGATTTCCTGACTGCTGCTTCCATGGACATTGATTGTAGAGTCAAGTAAAATGAATTCTGAACAACTTCAGTCTTTTCTCCATTTATCACGATGTTGCTTATTGGTCCAATTGTGAGGATTTTTGTTTTCTTTATGTTGAGGTGTAATCCATATTGGATGAAGGCTATAGATTTTTATCTTCATCGGTAAATGCTTCAAGTCCTCTTTGTTTTTGAGCAAGGTTGTGTCATCTGCATATTGCAGGTTTTTAATGATTCTTCCTCTGATCTTGAAGCCACGTTCTTCATATAGTCCAATTCTTTTTGACACAGTGATTCTGTGTGGTCCTTTCATCTTTTTGAAGCTTCATGTGTCAATAAGTATTTTTGCCCATTGTTGTTGTTGTTGTTAAGTGCCATTGAGTCAATTCTGACCCATAGCGACCCTTTATAGGGTTTCCAAGGAGCGAATGGTAAGCTTGAATTGCCAACCTTTCGGTTCAAACTGACTTTGCAGTCCAGCACATTAACCCATAGTGCTACTTCACAACTCCATTTTGCCCTTGTTGTTGTTGTTAAGTGCCATCGAGTCGGTTCCAACCCATAGCAACCCTGTATAGGAGTGATTGGCGAGCTTGAACTGCTGACCTTGCAGTTCAAACGGCTTTGCAGTCTGGCACATTAACCCACAGCACCACATTTTGCCCATAGAATACTTCAATATTGCGAGTCGTGGCTTGAATCTTTTCTCCTTTCTTTCAGCTTGAGAAATGTTGCGCGTGTTCTTCCCTTTTGGTTTTCTAATTCCAGGTCTTTGCACCTTTCATTATAATGCTTTCCTTTGTCTTCTCAAGCTCCCCTTTGAAATCTTCGGTTCAGCTCTTCTACTTCATCATTTCTTCCATTCACTTTAGCTACTCTACATACAAGAGCAAGTTTCAGGGTCTCATATGACATCCTCTTTAGTCTTTTCCTTCCTGTTGTTTTAATGGCCTTTTGCTTTCTTCCTGTATGATGCTCTTAATGCCATCCTTTAACCTTTCTGGTCTTCAGTCAGTAGTGTTCAGTAGATCAGATCTATTCTTGAATTGGTCTCTAAATTGAAGAGGGATATACTCAAGATCATATTTTGGCTCTTATGGACATGTTTTAATTTTCTTCACTTTCAACTGATCTGTTTGTCCCACAGTCAGCCCCCTGGCCTTCTTTTGACTGATGAAATTGAGTGTTTCATTGTTTCATCACACAGATCTAGTCAATTTGATTCTGTCAAGCTCCACATGTATGTTGGTGTTGTTAAGTGTTGTCAAGTCGGTTCCAACCCATAGTGACCCTGTGTAGGGTTTCCGAGGACCAGCTGGTGAGCTAAAACTGACAACTTTGTGGATCAAGTCAACTTTGCAGTCCAGCACATTAACCCACTTAAGTTGTTGTTGTTGTTATGTGCCGTGGATTCAGTTCAACTCATAGCAACCCTGTATAGTGTTTGCGAGGCCTTAAATCTTTACAGGAGCAGAAAGTCTCTCCTTTCTCTCGTGGAGCATCTGGTAGATTCAAACTGCTGATCATTTGGATAGCAGCTCAGCTCATAATCCACTCATTACACTACCAATATGTTATTGAAAAAAGGTGTTTGCAATGAGCTAGTCATTGGTCTTAAAAAAAACTCTACCAAGCGGTCTCTAGCGTTGTTTCCATCACCAAGGCTATATTTTCCAGTTACCGATCCTTCTTTGTTTTCACCTTTCCCATTCCGATTACTAGTAATGCAGTGCATTCTGGTTGCATGTTTAATCAATTTCAGTCTGCAGAAATTAGTGAAAATCTTCATTTGCTTCATCTTTGACATGCATAAATTTGAGTAATAGTCATATTAACTGGTCTTTCTTATAGGCATATGAATATTATTCTATCACTGACAGTGTTATACTTCAGGATAGATCTTGAAATGTTCTTTTTGACAGTGAATGCAGTGCCATTTTTCAATTTGTCATACCCAGCATAGTAAAATTATATGATTGTCTGATTCAAAATGAGACCAGACCACAAGGTCGATTTGAACTGCAAGGTCAATGGTTCAAACTCACCAGCTGCTCCTCAGAAACCCTATACAGGGTTGTTATGAGTCGGAACTGACTCAACAGCACTTAACAACAAGTATCAATTAATTTCAGCTCACTAGGAACGCCTAGGATAGCAATCTTTTTGCATTACATTTCATTTTTAATGACTTCTAATTGTCCTGCATTCATACTTTGTGTATTCCATGTTCTGATTATTAATGTATGTTCAAACGTCGTATTTCTTTTCATTTTGAGTTGTAAATGGAAGTCCCGAAAGCTTTACTCTATCCATGTTATTGAGTTCTAGTCTACTTTGAGGACTAGTCTGCCTTTGAGTGCTTTCTAACCTGAGGGGCTCATCTTTCAGCACTGTCTCAGTTCCGCTATACTTCTGCTACTATTCATAAGGTTTTCTCTAGGAAATCTGTTTTAGAAGTAGATTGCCAGGTCTTACTTCCTAGTCTGTTATACTCGGGAAGCTCTGCCGCAGCCCTACCACAGGTGACCTTGTTGGTATTTAAAATACTGGTCAGGTAGCTTCCAGCATCACAGTTACACACAAGGCACCCCAGTACAACAAACTGACAGACAAGTGGTCTGAAGCCGTATAACCAGCTCCCTGCTATAGAAGCAATTCCAACTCATACTAACTCTGTAAGGCAGAGTAGAACTGGTCCACAGAGTTTCCAAGGCTGTAAATCTTTTTGCAAGCAGATTGCCTCTTGTTTCTCCCTCAGAACAGCTGGTGGGTTCAAATCACCAACCTTTCAGTTAATTGAGCAACACTTAGTCCACCTTGCCACCAGGTCTCCTTGTTGTTAAGTGCTCTCAAGTTGTTTCCAACCCACAGCAACCCTGCACAGGGGTTTTTGAGGAGTGCTGTTAGGTTTGAGCTACTAGCCTTGTGATTAGCAGTCTAGCGCTTATCCTGCAGTGCAGTACCAGGACTCCTTAAGCTATCTATTTGTTTGTTGTGTGCTGTTAAGTTAGTTTCAACTCACAGCAACCTTGTATAGGGTTTCCTAGGGCGGCTAATGGGTTTGAACTGCTAACCTTTTGGTTATTAGTCCAGTACTTATCCTACAGTGCCACACCAGGTTTCAAACAATCTATAAATCTACTTAAAACTGCCTAAGACCTAGAATGGTGAACTCTGATAGTTCCCTTTGTTGCCTTGTTACTTAACTGCTGTGGAAATTTCCTGTACCCTTATCATGATGTCTAGCCCCTCCTTCTTGATTTCAGTTTCTACTAATCCCCTTGGAGGCTCTCATTACCTTCCTGTCCAGCTTGCTGCTGAGTCCCTTTAAGTTTTCACGGGATACTTTTTATACTCTTACTATTCCAGGTATTTCAGGGAAACCTTAAATACAGGAGAAGAAAGTAAGCTATGTTTAGTACTTTGCAGGATTTGAGAAACCTTTCATCAGTTATTCAATTAGTATCCTGAATCAGTAATACAAGAAGCTGGACTATGCAGCACCAGGACTGGAGGAAGACTCATTAAAACCTGTGATATGCAGATGACAGAGCTTTACATGCTGAAAGCACAGAAGACTTAAAGCACTGATGAAGATCAAAGATTGCAGCCTTCAGTATTGAGTATTACACCGCAACATAAAACAGAACGCCTCACAATTGGACCAATTAGCAACATCATGAGAAACAGATAAGATTGATGTCAAAGATTTCATTTTACTTGGATCCATGATCAACATCTTTGGAAGCAGCAGTCAAGAAATCAACATATTGCATTGGGCAGATCTACTGCAAAAGACTTTATAGTGTTCAAAAATAAACATGGCACTCAAAAATAAACATGACCAAGGTATACCTGGCTCAAGCCATGGTATTTTTAATTGCCTCTTATGCATTAGAATATTGGACAGTGAATAAAATAAAAATAAAAATTTAATCCATCTGAATTATGGTATTGGCAAAGAATATTGAATACACCACAGACTGCCAGAAGAACAGCCTAATCAAAAGAAATACAGTTGAATGCTTCTTACATGCAAGGATAGTGAGACTTTGTCTCACACCCTTTAGACATATTATCTATTAGAAGGGACCCATCCCTATAGGAGGATATCATACTTGGTAAAGTGGAGGGTCAGTGCAGAAGACCTTCAGTGAGATGGAGTGACACAATGGCTGTGAGTTGGAACCATCTTGACAATATTCAACAAGTACTACCACCGCTTCAAAGTTGACAATTGTCAATCATCTTCCCTCGTGACTCTTCACCTAGACTCTTTGCCCTTGATCCTACTTTCGTCCTAAGCCAAAATAACAGCAGTCCTTGCTTTTTTCACCAAACTTCTCAATGGAAGTCTCGTCGTCATTTCGATATTTCACAGATATAGAACTTCATCTCAGGTCTTACTTTTTTTGCCCATGTGTTTTGTTTTGTTGTTTTGCCTGTGTTTTTAAAGTCAAATCTTTGTCTTGTCATGTCCTTCCTTTTATCATTCCGTGTTTCTCTTGATTGGTTTTCCTCTTTGATTCTATTTTACTAGGAAGACTTGAATCTGCTTGTTAGACTACTAATAATTATAGTAATTGTTTCAATATATTTTTCTGATACTAACTTAGAAGTGTGTAAGTTACCATTTATTTACACACGAATTCATGCTAAGGTTCCCTATGAGTAGCATCTATTTTGAGGTATAGGCATGGGAGTCAGTTTACAAGCAATGTAATTTCTTTTTAGAAATCGTTTCTGCACATCAGTTTAATTGTGTTTTCTTTGCATCTCCCTTACTTCTTACAAGGTGTATTTTAAAGACTTATAAGCAGACACTTAAATTCACTGTTTTAAGTCTACAGTTAATAAAATGTGTTGGCTTCCAAGGTACATTTGTGATCTTTAATACCTGCTTACAAAATAAGAGGGGGCTTTAAAAAGTTTTAAAATTCTTATTATCTTTTCATGCCATGTTTTTTTTTAACTTTTTGATGTATTATTTTGTTTTTCATTTTACTCTTTTCCTGTGTATCTGCTTGGAGGTCATTTAAGGTTTGTTTAATTTCTTGTTACTTTAATGTAATTGTGGGATTCCTTGTGCTAGGTAGGCCTTAATAATCATCTGTTGACAGTTATGAAAACTTTCCTACATCTCAGTGTCCGAACAGGAAGATAACTCCTAGTAAAGAGTGTGGATGTTGTTATTTTTTGAGGTCTTGAGGTGCCGCATTTTTTGGTGACAGTACGTCTTAGAAGCTGTATGATGGATGTAATAATACAGCATTGTTGGTACCTCAGGAGACTACCTAGACCTAAGGTCCCACGTTCATAGCCCACTAGACCTGGCATACTCCTAGGCTGGGTATAGACATTCCCCACATACCTATTGAAATCAACCACACCACTGTGATCTTGATGAAAGCTGTGGCTCGTGAATTATATTGATTAGCCTGAATTGGCTTTTTGATAGCTATGTAACGATCCACTGAGATGGCACAGAGGTGCATGATGGATGCAGTAGAAAAGAGAACATCGAGAAATAACCAAGCTGGACATAGGACAAGTGGGAGGGGCCACATCGGCTCTGAAAGACAGAAAAAGAGAACAAAAAATATTTCCTCCTGAAAAAATGGCAGTCTTCAGTCTGCAGTTTTCTTTTATTTTTCAACCATTTTCATTTATCTTGAAATTTTTTGACAACTTCCACATGTTAGTAATGTGTGATTTTGAATAATGGGGACAGTGATATTAAATATAATATTCTGTAGATGGTACATTTTTAGTATGCTTTCCATCATACATAGTCATTACAGCCTTTTTTTGTTTAAAGACCAATTGCAGTTTAGCATAATTTTTAGTAGTATTTTGACCTTTTTTGATGATTCCATTTGTAAACTTTGAAATATTTTTACAGTATTGCAACTAGAACTTAAGGTTGCTATTCAAATAAAACTGTACTTGTAAGTTGCTGTTGTAAAATAGGGCGCCCTGGTGGCGTATTGGGTTACGTGTTACGGGCTACTAACGGCAGGGTCAGTTTGAATCCACCTGCCTCTCCGCACGAGAAACATGAGGATTTCTGCTTCCATAAAGCTTTACAGCCTGGAACTCTGTGCAGGGCCGCGATGAGTTAGAGTTGACTCAGCAGCACCCAACATTGTGTAAAAAATAAAAGACGTTACTATACAGGGGAAGCAATATAATTTGGTAAAAGACTATATTAGAATAGGAGACTCAGGGCTTGCTTTTAGTAATAATTAGTGATATGATAGCTGTTGCTATTAATTAGTAATGATAATAGCTGACTCTCATTTGGTGAAGTAAGTGGAATAAATTGATTTATGATTTTTGATAGAAATCATGCTTGAATCGAGTTTACGAAAAGAACAGCTTCCCATTTTCTTGAAAAACAAGAAACACATTCTATCATTCTCACCAAGCAGTAGAGATGTCATAAGCAACTCAGACTTTTAGGGTTTTTTTCTAAATCTCAGCATTAGATATCATATTCAACTAACTTAAAAGTACTTAAGGAGCCCTGGTAGTGTAGTGGATTATGAGCTGCTAACCAGAAGGTCAGTAGTTCACATCTGCCAGCCACTCTACAGGAAGACGATGAGACTTCCTGCTCTGTAAAAACTGACAACCTTTGAGACCCTACACAACCACCACTACCACCATAAAGTACTTACAAACGTTTGTTTGTTTTCATTTTATGTTTGGATGTGATATTGAATCATCTACGTTTTTCCAGTAAATCTACTTACATGCATATATGGGTGTATATACTACATTATGTGTTATATATACACCCACTAAATAAAATAATTAAAGTTCATTTCAGTGTTCCCCCTTGTTGTTGTTGTTAAATGCCATCCAGTCGGTTCTGACCCATAGAGACCCTGAATAAAGTTTCCGAGGAGCGGCTGGTGAGTTTGTACTGCCAGCCTTGCAGTTCAGATGGCTTTGCAGTCTGGCTCATTAACCTACAGTGCCACACCAGGACTCCCTGTTCCCCCTAGTACATCTTAATTGAATCCACTTTATACAAAGCACATACACACGTGCAAAACTTGAAAAGCAGATTATTTTTGTATAGAGGAAATATCACACGTAGGACATTATTTTCAATAACTTTTGATAAAAAATAGAAATTAATTTTCTTCTGCTGCTTTTTGCACATGTAGAGCTGACCTTAATGTGTATAAAGTGAATGAAATGAAGGAACGAGGACTAAAATACACCATGTCTTAATATTGCAGAACACCAAGAGACCCTTCACTTGTGCACATTTTAAAGTCAGCCAGGTGTCTTTACTGCCAACATCCCAGACTCAAAAGCACAAATTAGGGAAAGATTGAATTGAATGTATTGTTTTCAAGGGTTGAGCAGTATTTTGTTGAAAAAATACTGGCTACTTCACTAAAAGGAAGCATTCAGTTGAGATTTTCTGTTGAAGGCATCAGTATGTTCTGTAACCAAGGCTTCCAGGCAAACTTACAGGTCAAGCAGAGTGAAACGAACTTCCTAGGATTTAAGAGTGTGATTATGAAAATTACTTGAATTGGTGCTACATTCTGAACTGAAGTTCTAGATTTAAAACTGTGAGTAGGAAAATTGAGCTGCAACTAGAGTTGATCATAGTTCAAGATTAAAGAGGCAAGTAATGTATCTTAGACATCCTTTGTTTAAATGCATGAATGCAACCAATTTTTTAAGTGGCTTGTTACTAGTTTAAATTGACCTTTTTAGCTATTTTAATTAAGGGGTATATTTTTTAAAATTGCGATCTGGTAGAAAATTCTAGTCGTAAATCTAGTAGACATGAGCAGGAGGAATCCACAGTAGAACTCTTATACAAAAAATACATGACTGTGTACATATCTGACCCACTGTAAAGGGAATGCCCTTTACAGATGATAGAATTGAGTCTATGAAGTAGTATTAGCCATAGTTTCCAACAGACTGAATTTATTTTGTAAATTCCAATTTGGGGTCAGAAAGTGAGAGTGTAAATTAATGCAAATGAGAATTTCATTCATTCTTCAGTGCCATCTTACTGTTAACTATAGAAATACTTAGATAAGTTATACAAAAAGTTCTTTAAGAAAAAGATCATGAGACTAAGGTTTAGGATGAAAAGAAATGAATCTTTCTGATTATACTAGTGAGTACAGTTTTTATGAAACTAACATAGAGTATCAGACAACTGCAATCAGTTACTAGAAATCTTTTACACAAAGAAAAATAGGCTTGTCAGAATGCTTATTATTTCAGGAAACCTAAGAATACATAAAAATTAGAAAGTTACAGCCAGTTTTCTTAGATGCTTTTATTCTGAAATTGTCATTTCAGGTAGTATTACTTTTACTTTAATAGGTTCAAGGTCAAAACTGTTTAATGTTCAGAAGGACTGAATAAATGTTAAAGTTGATATGGTAAGATGCGTTAGTTACTCTAAAACTTTCTGTATCCTTTTTATTGGAGTTGAAAGTTTTAAGGATTTATAATTAAATTTATTTGTTATAATATCCATCTTACTTCCTTAATTACTTGAGGCATTCTTTAACTTGGGACAAAATCTTAAGTGTAATCTTAAAGTAAAAAGCTACAGATTGCAATAAAGAGGAAGAAATATAAAGGGAGACATCTAAGAGATAAGTCTAGGAGAGATCAGTTGTCAGGTGCTTGAACTCAGTTATGTTACTGTTGTAAGTTTGATCCTTTTATAAAAGCTGTGACAGGAGGGTAGAAGCATTTAGATTATATAGTATAGGATTTGTTGGCTCAAAAATTCCCTGAAAAACGAATCCCATTTTCTACATCCTTCCTTATTCCAAATTTAGCTCAGAAGAATTAAATTTCAGTAAGAATAGGATAACAGCATTTCTGCTAATGCCTAAATTATTACAGATGCTATTGTAGAAGCAAAACAGATCTTTAGTAGGTCTTGTCTTACATATTAGTAACTGAAATTAGTAGCACAAATATTTTGTTGTGTAAAATGGCTATATTTAGACTTGAAATACCATCATATATAAGGAGAGATAGAATTGTCATTGCATTCCATAAGTTTCTATTTGTCTCCCATACAAGGTTGAATATCTTCATGGATATGGGCCTGGGTCTAATATCTTCTTTAGAAAAGAAGTCTGATAATCATCAAGAATTTATACAAGTATTGGTTGAGGCCCAAGTGTTCTGTATCATTTAATATAGAATATAATTTTAACTGGGGAAATGCTAGATTTTCCTTTGTCCCTAGAGAACATTCTATGGCTCTCTTGTTATTGTTGTTGTTGTGAAGTGCCATCGAGTCGGTTCCGACCCAAAGGAGCTCTTGTTATTAAGTGGATTTAATGAAGATACTGTAAATGTTGGCTCTGTATGCCGAATATGACAATTTTGGTTGTTATAATTTCTCCTTTGCATGTGGGAAAGCACAATAACTAGAGGTGAGAAATGGGAATTCTGGCATCAGTCTTCCTGTATTCAAACTGTGTTTCTGTCTTATATTTAGTATCCCTGCACAAATTACTTATCCCCCTCCCCCTGTTCTTATGTGCTCCCTGCTTCACAGGGGTGCTTTGAGGATGAAATGCAATAATACATACGAACTGTTTAGAACAGTGTCTGGCATAGAGGAAGCACTTAAATTAGCTCATATTACTATTGTTGTTTGACAGAAACTAGCCAAGTGGCCCAACCATTGAGGCCACACCAACTTAGAAAGAGTAAGCCCTATCAGCAGTATAAAGTAGCATGTTTGTCTTTTGTCCTGCTATAGCAAGAGTACATACATCTGATTGAACTAAAATGTGACTTTCAAAAGACAAAAGAAATGGGATGAGAGCATGTTTCCCTCTGTTTGAGTTTGAATTAAATTTGTCATGAAAATATGCCTTTTACCACAGTTTATTTTAACTAGGTTATTTATTATATACATGACACAGAAAGACATTGTAGTCCAGTTAGGGCCGTGCCTGGGTTTTTGCTTGTTGTGTTTTCTTTTGAATTGGTGCAAAAACCAAGAAATTCAGTTTCTTGATGAGACTCATTTTGTTTGAAACCTACTTGCGCTTTGGGCAAGACTGTGTTTGGAAAGCCAACCATATTTGTTGTTAAAAAGTTATTTGTATTGATCTATAAATATGGAGCCGCTCCGCGGGAGAAAGATGAGGCTTTCTACTCCCGTAAAGATTTACACCCTCGGAAACCCTGTACAGGGTCGCTATGGGTCGGA